AACATGAGCTGAGGATAAAGGCTCATGGAGTAGATCGGAAGAAAATCCAAACTATGCAGAACAGATAGCATCAGAGATGGAAGGTTGCGTGTTATATTATATTGCGTATGTTGTATGTCTGTATCTACTTATAATATAGTATTGACTCATCCAGTTGCTCTCTACAAATTCTTCGTAATTTTGCCCACATGCCCTAAAATGAGATCAATCGCAAGGTGAAGGTTCGATTGCCAAAGTGCAATGCGATGCGCTCTACGTTCCATAAGCAAAAATGACCGAATCGATAAAAAAAATCACAGCTGACATATCTAATATGTGCGAGGCTTTAGGAAGAGGAAATGAACCAAGGGAGTGAAAGCAGCAGTGAAAGCGTGATGAAATCCTTTTGACAAACCGTTTGCCACTGAAAGCGATGATATGCTGATTTATGGGCAGCGCTGATGGATAATTCGAATTATAATCATTGAAAACAGAATGAATTTACTCTCCTTCCATAACGTAGATGACCGATTCTAGAGAATCCGGCGTGAACCCGTTGTTCAGTCTTCTGCAGTTTCTCGTCAGACCCATATATAGTCGATTGCACCTGCTTATTCTGAGAACAGTTACCGATAGTTAATACCCATCACCGCTGTGCTTTGTTCCCCTTTGTTCAGAGAATATTTCTTTCATAAGGAACAGGCCCCTGCAGATGGAAGTTACCAAAAAAGAAACTAATACATTTCATTTGCTGATACCCGATTTGCTTGGGTTCTAGGTGAACGGCATCATTAGGCTCGGATCATTCGGAGTTTTTTTCGATGACCTGAGGCATAGCTACCTCTTTTCTGGCGAGTTCCTCCTCGCACCGCGGAAAGGCATGCCTCATCTCGCGGAGTGCATGAATAGACCATAAACAAATGCTACGAGTCCAGATGAACGGAAGATGCAAGAATGGAAAGCACAAGAATAAAATGAACTAATCTTATAAGCAGAGTTGCGGCAGTTACATTCTCAATTCTTTCAATCCTTGCCCAATCCTTCTTCGCCTAAGACTTGGTGGCTGTCAGAATGTCACTTGAAGAATCGTCCACTACTCCGACGATGCGTACCATTATAAATATGTAGCACTGAAGTAAATGCAGCGTCGTTATGAGAGGAACGGCTGTTTTTCGTAAGCGTGCTCAAAACTCTCTTGGTGAGGTTATTTCAAGCGCAAGAAAACAGCTGTTTTTTGTTTATGAGTTTTGAGAAGCCAAAAAAATAGTGCAAAACAGAAATTTGCCTGAAAATCTACGTAATTACCGGCTGGTGTATTTATCGAGGCATAAACGCGATCGCGGAAGAGTCGCCAACCACGTCGATTCGTCATTGTCGGGCGGCTGCAAATAAGCGGCGTCGTCGTCGAAGCCATCGACTGCTGGGGAAACAGTATGCGCCAAGCAGTCGATGTGCTGCAGTGGAAAAGCGCAGTACTTACAGAGTAGTCGAGTACCTGGCAAGTCGAGAATAGTAGTATCGGTCATTGAACGAACTACCTGGTGGTGGAAGCGGCTTCGAGCAACGGATCGACCAATGGTCCTGTTTCGACGGTGACCATTTCACGGACGGAATCCAATGGATGCAAGTCAAACGATGGACCGATGAATTATTGACAGTTGGATCAATTTGGTGATAACGACTCTTCGTTACCCATTACCCATCTACGTTCTTCTGGTGCTGTTCCGGCGTCCGTCCGCCAGGCCGTTGATCGATCTTGGTCACCGCTCCGCTTCCTCGTACACTCCTTCATCATCTTTGTCCCTGGCTGGTGTCGTCGTCGTCGTCGTGGTGTCGATCGATGGCGTTGGTGCTTCAGTAGCATCTCCTTCCTGAGTCCTGTTTCCTAAGAACCAAACAAGAAAAGAAACTCGGCCGCCGTCGACCATAGGAGTCAGTGGTCATCACGTCGTCGTGGTATGAGCAGGCGAGGAGGTGCGGCTGCGTTCGTCAGATATTTTCACAAAAACCACTACAGCTCGGCGGCGGCCAACGAGTGATTGCTCCTCGACGAACAACAACGATTGCCGCCGACAGCAGCCAAGAATCACCGGAGGAAGGAGGCGAGATTTGCTGTGCTTCTGTTTGCTCCTGATGTCCAGCTGGTGGTTTGACTAATTCACTCAGGCCTCGCCACGTCGGTTCAGCCGGAGGTCATGGGCAATCGTGCCGGAAAGTCACACCCGAGCCGTGCTGAACGACAGCCGATCCGAGGCGGATATTTGCAGGCACCGATCACTCGACATTCCAGGTGAGCCGTTACCTCGTTACTCGTTTCTCCTTGCCAAATGCTGCCGGCGAACAACGCACATGTGTACCTCAGCATCGTTTCCGTTTTCACGGAGCGACAGCGAGCTACGTAAAAAAAAACGCCACACGGCCTTAGCTCAAGTCAATGAAACAAATCCCTTAATCTTAGGAACTGTCAGTAGACGTCGCCAGTTTTTGCACCGCAATTAAAACTGTCCCGTAATTGATTATATGCGGCTGAAGCAGCGTCCTGGACGGCAAATGGTTGGTTGACAGTTCTACAAGCAGGGGACCGCGATTTCGCACGTTCTCTTCCGCAGCTGTTATCAACAATTTCGATCCGCAAAATAAGCACCTCAGGCGCTGAATAATACGCAGGGCGACGTCAGATAAATGATGACTTGTTCTTGATCCAGAGTTAATCCAGAAAGCGACGGTACGTTGTTTAGCGCACTTTGACATATTTTGTCTCCTACTGTGAACGAGGAAGAAGTCACTATGTTAGTAAATCAAGAAAGGCCCAGTGGATAGTTGATTATCGTTTAATGGAACTGCTAAAGTGGCAATCAGTTTATGCTAGAACCAAAGCTACGTTTTCACCAGCCCGCTCGACTGGCAGTGAAGAGGCGAGGACGTTTATCCAAATTACATACGTGACCATGAACGAACGTAGGAGTTTCTCAGTCAGAAAGGTGTTCGAAAAATCCACTTCGATGGCAACCAGCCAACGAGAAAAACATCGCGTGTTTCAGGTAGCCAGAACGTCATGACTGAGACACTGCACATGCCTTAGTAAAATGGTAAAGTCATAGAAGCTCACTTGGCTGTTTGCCATTGCAGCTGGACGCCCATAAATGTGTCCATTCAAGTTCAGTTCTGACCAGAAAGAGTACTGGCTTCTTGTCTGTCAGTGATCCGACCAAATGCTGACAACTGCGATTGTAATAAGCCGTCTTCTTCTTTGGGATAGTCTTATCACGAGGGATAGTCAGCTGTCAGGTTGGTCAAGGCGAGGTGCAATCACAAGGTGCTGTAGCAACGGACACCGTACACTTCATCGGGCATCTCGTCCATTCTGGTACGACGACACCAAAGCATCAGGCAGCCCCTGTTGCTCTCATGTTAAATTTCGCTACGACGTAGAAACAAACGTTCTTCGTAGCTGCCCACCATTGTCACAAATGTTGGATCATTGAAATGGAGGTTGTATCATGTGAAAATTTTAAAATGAACGCCTGTTGAGCTTTTTCTCGAAGCATCGCTCTCTTTCTGTTCTTGGGTTGGCGATGGTAGCTGTGACCGAGTAAATAAGTGAGTAAATGCATTAGTGAGTAAGCGAATGAATGGACGAACAAATAAATGAAGGAATGTGAGGAAGAAAGTTTAAATAAGAGAGTTTGTAACCATTGGAATGTCCTTCTTCCTTAATATTTTCACGATGCTCTTCTTTTCATCAGATGGGGCGCTGATTTCTTGGTCATCAGCCAGGATTGCCTTGATTTAAAGGCACGGTCGACAGCAGCTATATGACAAGTACAGTATGTAGTCCCCTGTTTCCTTTCCACGAAGTGATACTCATTCATCAATCTCGGAAGGAAGAAACGCAATTCCCCGTGATTGGGACTCGAATCCAAGATCTCTGGGTTATGAGTCAGACGCTCTACCTCTCTGAAGCAAAATTGGTATATTTGTTGGTCATGGGATTTCCTGGTTAAGACAAAGATTGCCGTTGGGAAAAATCGAACACGGCACATCCGAAGTTCAAAGCCGACCTCCTGCGCATCTTGTCACCACATCACCCTATTGACCATACCATTAAAGATCTAGAAAGTGTAAAAGTGAAACAGCTTAACCCGCATACGGTCATAGAACGTTCTGTGCCATTTGTGAAAGAGGCAAAGGTGGGTATATCGCGACGGAGGCCAAAGTACGGAGAGATCGAATTGCACAAAATATCTCTTCGGCAGCGTACGCTCGCTGCTTTTTTATTATGGCAAGAATCGATACAGAGCAGCATGGGCATTCCAGCAAACGAAATGCCATAGCCAATCACATCTGTTTATTTTTGCAGTTCTACGACCGTTGCAAATATGATGCAATATGTGTTCATGATGACATCTATTGTTTTTCTTTGCAATCCTCGTTAATCATAATAACTTATGGGAGTCTTACCCGTAAATGGAAACGATAAGCGGACTTCTCATGGTTCATCTTACCGGCAATCGTTATCCATTATTTGCTTGCATTATTTAGCGACTAAATAATGGACAGAGAAGAAAGAGCACAATTACGCCAAGTCAGACAGGGGCAGATCATTCCTGACTCTAGCCAGGAAACGCGGTGCAATTTCTGTCG